GGGGGGGGGGGGGGGGGGGGTAATGCAACCGGACACCCCTTTGCCCAAGCACCTTTCTATGAAAATGTATGGTGGCGTTAAGGAAAAGCTCCACACATTCTTAACCTCGGCTGCAGATGGACATGAGTGGGAAATTTCACCCCGGCCGATTTACTCCCTCGGGGCGGATTGGATTGGGGGTTGGACGGGCCCCAGGACTCGTCCGGACAGAGTTCTGGGGTAAGAGAAACAACTGTGTGTCTGGAATCGAACTCCGGTCTTTTCTGACAGATGCACGTGGTTTTACTTAGTCTATCCAGTCGAATGCTTGGATAGTAGTTTCTTGTAGACTATCATTGCTTTGTCTGGGCATGCACATTGCACTGCCTTCTCACCAAGCATGTCGGCGTAGTGGTTGACGAAAGGCGTGGAACTCGTGATAATATTAAAATTGAACGAAAAGATTCAGGGACTGACAAGGCGTTTACTGAAATTAACCACGGTGTGGTAGATGCACATGTTGGTCTTCGGGGTAAGTAGATACTAGTGTTTCGGAGGAATATACTGCCTCCATCTTCAGGGCTTACGTTGATGTTTAGCCCGGGATAGGGTCCAGTTTCGGACGAACTCAGCAAGGACCTTCCGGATTCCGTGTGGTTAAAATCTTTGAAAATGGATCGACTATTCGCCCAGTCCTTTGGACTCTGATGGCACGGAATGTACATCGTACTCTGCTTGCGTGATGTTTGTCTTCTGTTTTCGTATGTGCTGGAGTGTGGAATGCCGGAGGCATGACAGAAAGGCATTTGTGTGACTGAATAATGGACGCAATGCCTTAATGTTACAGGTTCCACGTCTGTAAACATAAAAAAGATAAGTTCAATGAAGGCTCTTATCTTTCCACACGGCTGGCACGTTAGCCAAATTCAGCTACTCGTGTTTGCGTAAGAGTTTGTTGGTAGTGGATTATAATTTTAAGTTTTACTTTTTAATCATTTAAAATCCGGCCACCTCGTTCAAAAATCAGCAACTCTTCATTTTGTATTTATCGTGTTTCGTATGATTCTCACTGTAAACAGCGATTATTATTTCCTTAAACAGCGTTAACCAGATGATTTCTGTAATGGTGGAGTGTGGTGTTTTCTTCGCGGTACGGACTGAATTCTTATATATTATTTAGACGAACGCCAGTTTCAAAGGGGTAATTAATATACATGCAACGGCGAAACTAATCTCTTTCATGGGGATGTGAAACCATGGAAAGCAAATGATATCAGTTTTGGGCGTCTGGGTTGAGACGCCCGTGTCGACTTGTAAGAAGATACCAACGTTTCGGAGGAATGCGCTGTCTTCATCGTCATGGCTGAAGATGGAGACAGTATGTTCCTCCGAAACGTTGGTGTCTACATAAAAATCTGGGTTGATGGTGTGATTCATGGTACAGCATCTCGCATTACTCTCGGGGGAAGAGCCCATTGAGTACGAAGCTGGCGTGAGAAACTGATAGTCGCTCACCTCGGGAGAATCAGAGCCCGCCACAGCCCGTATCCTGACCTAACTGCGTCCTGTAAGAAGTAAACAAATGAATATCTTTGTAGCTGTTTTGTGTGTGTGTGTGTTCTTGTGATCGAGTTTCATCTGGCTGTCCGTGTTTCAGGGCGACGATCCAAGCCATCGCCGCGTACTTGGACGTTTTCCAGAAGATAGCGGACTCCGCGACCAACACTCGTGGTGAGTACAGAACAGACCGGTCGTTGTCTTACGTAATCCTTTAGAAGTTCAACTAGCGGGAAGTCAGACAAATACTTCGTTACTTATAAGCCTTTCTTTTTCGAAAGATCATCTCAGGCCTGGTCTTTCGATATGTAACATTCAGTATCATAGGTAAGAAAGATTATACCATCCCTAAACTCAACACACCTTCACCCAGACTCGAACCCAGGACAGATTTTTCCGACAGTCCCCAGGTTTTTGGGGTTTTTAGGAAACTGGGTCGTAATCTGTACGCTTTTACCTTTTAAACGAGAGGAAATAATAATAATATTTACATAATTTTGGTCGAGAAACCTGAAGGGGAGCGACCACTCGGGAGACGTCGTCGATAGGATAATATTAAAATGGATCTGTGATAAATTATTATGTAGGTAGAGAATTTGAAGTCTTTCTCGCGTGTTGTAACTGGGTTTTGTGTGCAGCTTGTAGGACCCGATCTGGATTCGTGGTCATAATGGCAGAAGGTCACGGTCTCTTTCATGGAAGATGAGTCAGATTAATAGGAAGTGTTCAACACGTTCGGCTTCTAATCATTGGATGTCTGCGTTGTTGCCAGCTTTGTCTGCGATATTGTTTTGACGTAGACTTTTCTCCTCTCTACCACGTGCAGAAAGGCTTCGTGGCACACCGACCATTCCGATTCATTGATGTTTGTGTTATTTAATCCTTCGACATCGAATGGTAACAGTATCTACCACCTGATTTAACAATAAGCAAATCATCGTGTTTCATTTATGTATTTCGTATGATTCTCAGAATAAACAGCGATTATTTCCTTAAACAGCGTCAACCAGTTGATCTTAGTAATGGTGAAGTGTCGTGTTTTCTTCGCGGTACGAACTGAATTCTTAAATACGTAATATTTAGACGAGCTTTGACTTCAAAAGGTTAACCAGCTGATCTCTGTAATGGTGAAGTGTCGTGTTTTCTTCGCGGTACGGACCGGATTCTTTAAATGTTCTTCAAACGAGCTCCGGGCTTTAATTTGGCTTCAGAGAGTATAAGCTACACTGTTTAAAATGCAGATAAGAATGAGAAACTATCTTGATTTTTTAAAAATAATGTAATTAACAAACAATTCGATAAATTTCGTACAACTGCTGTATAAAATATTTTATTTTCATTGTAACTTATCGAAATTGGGGATTGCATTTTGTTGCAGAAAATAATTAAAGTTTATCTTTTCCGGTATCAATGTCCGACATTCGTGAACTCAAGAACGTTGAAGTCCTATGAGTCCGCTTGTCTGAATCAAAATATCCACTTTTGAGATTTCTACAGAATGAAAGCGCGAAAGAACGTCTTCACTATTCCGAAAATCGAGGATATTACTCGCACGAGTTATCTCACCAAGAAGCATTCCTTTTTAATCTGATTTTATTTGGTAGGCATCTCAGAAGATCAGAGAGAGAGAAGTTTCCCGTTATCTGTCTACAGTTAATCGTACTGTTCCTGGCTGCTTCTCAGGAATATGAGTTGTGCGTTACCATGGAAATCTCTAATTAAGATCCGGCATTGGCCAGGTCGAGTCACAAACGCCCCCAAAGCGTCTCCAGGTTCACAGTTCGCAATGCGCCTACAATTTTCGCCTTCAATTTCGGTAATCGATACGAGGACCTCGTGGCGTTCTCCCCCGAACTGTCTGTCAAAATACCATCGTCGCTTGTGTGCAATCTGCATATGTAATGGAGGAAGTTGAACCCACTTGGCTTTCATTCGTAATGACCGTCCTCTTGTACACTCCACGAAACTAATGTGGCAACCAATTCCTCCTTCGTACTTCGCGGTCTCCCGTTCGATTTTCGTGTTTCTGATTACTTCGTGGTTTTATTTATTCATTCCAGGACATTGCTCCAGAAAAAAAGGTGTTTACAGCTCCGTTTAAAAAATGGAAAAAGTAGATCAGATTTGTCTGGCGCCTGGCAAGCCCGCTGTGTGTTGTTACGTGTCTTATCTTCTTAGGTAGCAGATAACAGCAGATATTTCAGTGGCACAGTAACCGTTTCCAAGAAGTGTTATGACGGTTTCCTGATTACAACAGGAGCTCCGTGTAACTACATGTCCCACGGAAGGGCCTTTTGGCTTCTGCATTTCTGTGTTCTGATTGGCCATGGGGTCATCTTGTCCTCCCTTGTTCCACCTTCTTCCTGTGTTCAGTTTGCAGACTTGAAGATTATACACACAACTGTTATTTTGTATGGGTGTAAACCTTGGTCTCTCGCTCTGGTGTAGGAGCGCAGTACAAGGGAAAATAACTGGACGTAGGAGAGAGAGAGAGAGAGAGGCAACAAATTGTCAAAATATTGGTCCAAACCGTCTTCTCCTTATTCCTCGGCTTTAGTTGGCCATTTCCTCAAGACTTGAGGTTCTCACAGCGGTGAGTATGAAGATTTCTGTCTTCTGGGTTGTTGCGCCGTGTAGTCTGGTCGATGTTTACCAACGTTTCAGAGGTCATACTGCCTCCGTCATCAGGGTTATGAGTATGAAGATTTCTGTCTTCTGGGTTGTTGCGCTGTGTAGTCTGGTCGATGTTTACCAACGTTTCAGGGGTCAGACTGCCTCCGTCATCACGGCGATGAGTATGTAGATTTCTGTCTTCTGGGTTGTTGCGCTGTGTAGTCTGGTCGATGTTAACCAACGTTTCAGAGGTCATACTGCCTCCGTCATCGCCCTGATGACGGAGGCAGTATGACCTCTGAAACGTTGGTTAACATCGACCAGACTACACAGCGCAACAACCCAGAAGACAGAAATCTACATACTCATCGCCGTGATGACGGAGGCAGTATGACCTCTGAAACGTTGGTTAACATCGACCAGACTACACAGCGCAACAACCCAGAAGACGGATATCTTCATTTCCTCAATGATTTGCCGTTTTCCTAACCAGTCCTGAAGATTGAGGCAGCATATCCACCCGAACCCAAAAGGTCAACAACATCTTTACCGCTGTGATAACCTCAGGTTTGATACAGCTGTCTGGTTCGATGGTACGACCCACAGGCGAAACACCGCTTTGGGTTTTATACTCTGTGGCACGCAGGAAGTGTCTGGGCCGTCTTTAAAGTTTAGATGACCGGCCAACAAGGCGTTTGGCGCTGTGTGACTGTACAGGAAGCCAACTGCCTTTTGTCTTAACTCGCGTGATGATAATGTATCTGCAGGAAGCCATCACATTTGATTGCACCGGGCGTGTGATGGTGAGTTAATGGTGGTTATGGAACGACAGTGCTTTGTATCCGGGGAGGCTTGAATCATTCACACGGTCGTAATAATCCGGCGTGTTTATCCCACGAGAGACGCTAAGGCGTCCTCCTGGAGATGAGTTTGATGTTGCCGGAATTTGACTACGACACCTTCCTCCCAGGTAGTCCTGTCTCCGCAAAACACAGAAACGGATGTTCAGTAAAGAACCGATAATTCTTACTTTCCATTTCTTCGTGCGACAGCGTTAACCATAATTTACGAAAGAGTTTAATCTAAGCGATATATATATATATATGTGAACTCGTTATGTTTGTGCGGGCGTTTTGTCTGGAAACTGACAACGGCAGTAGCACTTTATTCTTATTCTCGAAACCACAACGTGGCCCTCGAGTGTAATATTCATTGTCTAGAGTCGTCGTCTGGACAATACCTTCGCGATTGTCAATTGCGTAGAAGAGAAGAAAAGAGTTTCTGTCGACAGTGAGAGGACGGCGTCACTTATTTTGAAGTGAGCATACAGTTCGTTTTGTTCGAGGGCTGTTCTTGTCGACAACGCGTCTTCTTCATTGCGGTCTGCGACAGCTTTTGTCAAAAGCTTTCTTCGACAACCGTGAATATTTAATTTTAATATTTTCAGTGATGATTGAGGGGACGCGGCGTAAACTTCCGTTGCCATTTAAGAAATAGATTAAAGGAAAAGATGGTAAAGCAAGCTTATCACATATTTAATCAATTAATCATCAAATTCTTGTCGAGTGTCGTAATCGATGTGGGATGCCAACGGACTGCTTACTATCTGTAGCGAATCAAGGAACCCAGTTTCAGTGACAGTGGTGTCGAAGTCATCAGTTTCTGGTGTAGTCTTCCACATCGCCTACAGGTTTCGTCCTTCCGTGGTCTCATTGGTTGACCCGCAAAATTATCCTCTGTCCGCACCCAGGCTCCTAATTGATGCGTCTGTCAGGCGAATCTATTTATCCTTGCATCCTCCGAGCTGCATGTCCAACCAATCTTAGCCGTTTCTACTTCAGTAATTTGTGCGTGTCGCAGGAATCTTATCCGCCTTGAAAACGTCTTCAGAATTTGATACAGGGTGTGTGTAAATTATCTTTATGACTTTATAACATTTTATATGCACTCTAAATGCTTTATAAGGGGATTTTATGAATGTTGTACTTTCTGTGATATTTGCAGAGTTCATGCTAGAGCTCAAAAGAGTTTCTTCCCATCAGTCGTCGTACTCTGATCGTAAATTAATGATTGTACATAAATGCATGCAAAGCATTGTGTGTGTTTCAGTCTGCCCCTGTACATGCTAACATTTGCCTAGTTCCTGTGGTCTACTAGTTTTTTATCAAACGGTACGCTAAATATAGAATTCGTACCAATGCCATTTTATCTTACGTACAGCGTGGTGCAAAATCCAGGACACACTTTAAATGAACACGCATACAAGTGCTTTTTTCTAACGATTTAGCACTCAATATAATTGCTGTCAGATATCTTTACACGCGATTGCAAAATATTCCCACAATTTTTTATTTGATGTATTTAAAATGGCCGCCTTCTTTTGATACTCTAATACATCGAGATACGAAGCGAATTTCCAGCTTCACTGATTGAAATGCATGGCGTAAGTCGTTTTATGTGAGTAAAGGCGCGTGTTCGTTCGCTGTGGACAGATTTGAGCGAAGGCGATATCCTGCAAATTGGATGACGTTTCAATTGTGGATATCGCCCTGATGATGGAG